AAAAATTCCGAATCAATTGAATCGTTCGTGTAACGATCTACAAACTCGGGGCATACTCGGGACGGTCCTACCTGTTTGTTTACGATGGGTTGGTGGGTAAATACGGAAGCGAAGTTTCAAAAAAAATTGACCCTTTTAACTTACGTTTGGCTTATAATTAAATTCATAGATTAATAAATTTTAAATATATGATAATTCTCAATTATGGGGTTGATATAAGTTACCCGGACAATTGATTTGCATTAGCCAATCAGACGACCTTCGTTACCAAGTTGTCGGTTATCCTATTTTAAATTATAAACTAAACAATATATTTAAATTTTTAATTGTTTACATCAAATAAAAATCGGCATTATTTTTTTTAGCCAATTGATAAACTTCTCATGAATTATTAATTTTTAAAAAATTTTTTTGTGATCTATCATACATGTTTACATAATTAAGCAAGCAGCACAGGGATTAAAAATTCATTAATTTGTTGTACAAATCTTCGTTTGGATGCTTTGTCCTAGTGTTTGTTAATACTATTTATACCACTGTTCTTTATTTCTTGATCCAAAAAAAAAAAAAAAAAAACCAAAATGTCAAAACCTCGTGTTGCCATTATCGGCGCAGGTAAATAAATATGTTCTTAATATTGAATTATTCTTCTCATATTTATCTTCATTTATCTCATTATACGTGATAAGGTGCGTCTGGACTTACATGTATTAAACAATGTCTCGCTGACAATCTCGAACCGGTGTGTTTTGAAACATGCAATACTACTGCGGGACTTTGGCGTTTTACCGAAATCACTGAAGAAAATAAGGATCCACCTTCATCAATCTATAAAAGTGTGATTATTAATACTAGTAAAGAAATGGTAAGGGAGGATATATATATATATATATATATTGTATAAGCTTTGATACGCATAATATAAAAAAAAAATTTTATTATTATTTTTTTTTTTTTTGACGATCATAGTCGACATTTTCGGATTTTCCAATTCCTCATGATTGGCCTTACTATATGCATCACAAATTTGTCGCAAAGTAAATTATCAATTACTTAATGATTTACAATTCAATTTTATCGATCTTTGTTAAATATTTTTATATTTTCAGGTATTTCGATATGTACGCAGAAAGATTTCAGCTTATTCCTCATATAAAATTTAACACTACCGTTGTAAATGCATCAATTCTTCCCGATCAACGCTGGAAAGTTCGATACGTGACTAAAGGTGGAGAAGAAGCTGAAAGTGTGTTTGATTATGTAATGGTTTGCACAGGCCATCATCGGTATCCTCGAATGCCAAAGTTCCAAGGAATGGACCAATTTAAAGGAATTCAGATTCATTCACATTTTTATCGAGAACCTACAAATTATAAGGATAAGCGCGTCGTTGTTGTCGGATGCGGAAACAGGTGAGGGATATTATATGAATTTTCTAAAGTCGGTATTTTAAGTGGTAACTTTTACAAATTTTGGCATTTATTTTTAGTGGTATGGATATTTCCGTGGAATTATCAGAATCAGCATCGCAAGTTTATATGTGTGTTCGCCGAGGTATGAAATTCAAGAACTATACAACATTTTATTTAATTGTATTTAAATTTATAACATGATATCTAT